ACTTCAGTAGCACATGTACTAAAATTGGAGCCCTAAATTAATTAAGACAGCTGCAATAAAACTATTTATTTCTCATATGTAGTGAACTTGACCTGATGTCAAAACTTGACCTTGTGGGACAGAAACTGTCATTTCATTGATTTGAATCCAGAAATACAGGTTGACCCATCCTGAGACTTTCTTTCTTGAAAATTCAAGTGAAAGAACACTCTCTTTTCTATTATCATTACTGTTTTACAAATGTTTGATAATCAAAGTGTTTTAGTTCAAACCATTTTAGATGTTGCAGTGAACTAATCATTTTTAATTAACTGTGAAAACAGTAACAATGATTTTTAATCCTCATGCAAAGTTAGAATTCATGTTAAGGCCTGTTACAGAGTAATTATGCATTTTCTGATTTTCTGTCTTTGAATGAGCAGTGTACGTTTGTTCCAAGGTCGGAGTCGAAGCAGACAAGTGTTGGAACAACTGTCTTGTTTTTAAATCCTCTCAGACGTAAACAGAGAAGTTGGCACCTGTTTCTCCAAACTCGCCCAAACATTTCTCTCGCCTGTCTGAAAAATATTTTCAATCTGTTCCATAACATTCTTGCTGTTTTCTGACTTCTAGTAACCTTTTACGTCACAAAACACACCCCTGTCTGGTCGACATTGACCAAAAAGAAAACTCCCAAATGAACCGGAAATAGAGCCCTTTAAAATGTCGGTACTCCCTAGTTCTCTCAGTTTCTGTGATTTGCCCAGTTCTCAGTTCTGTGAGTTCTGTGAGTTGCCGTTGGAGTCGGGCTGGAGAGTTTGCAGCTCCAGTCGTTTGGGAGAACAGAAGTCCAGCCATGATAAGGCTCTTCCGAGATTGGGATTATAACATATTCCACCTCTGAGTGGAACTCGGACGAACCCCACTCATGTGAGGTCCACTGGCTGAGGTGAACTTGTGTCAGACGGAATATCGTCACTACTTCGGACGAGTCACAGCCATCCTATGGAGACGCTGGACAGGTAGCGTTAACTGGAACTCCGTATCCGCTGATTCATCTTCAGAGAGGTAACGAGTCAAGTTTACTACCGAGCGTACCGAGGAAAGCTGGGTCCGAATGGAGAGTGTTGTTTCTGGTCAACACTCTCCCTCACACACCATCTTTTACTCCCTTTAAACTTCATT